ATCCAGAACAAGTACAGCGGAACAAATTTCTCTGGCGCTTCTGCCGAGGAGGTGTACGGACATGCAGTGAACACCGTCCCGAAGACTACAAGTTAATCCTAAACTTTCGTCGTTTACCTCGGACGATATCTCAGGAGGGGAGGGGTCCGGGAGAAAGTAAGAATTGCCTTGGAAATTCCCTATTTTAGCGATTAATTGATTATAAACGATTACCGCATCGATTTCGAACGTTCCGGAATGTTCTAGTTCTGCACGTGACTAAAAACCACCTGACACCTCGGCAAAAGATATGGGGAACCACTAACCTTGGTAGTTGACCTTCCAATTCTAGAAGTCGAAGGTCAGTAAGAGACCTGTAAATACAGCCAAGATCCGCAGTAGTTGCACAGTGTTTGTTGGCGGCGATAAATACATTATTTTGTCTTGGTCATTGGCGTTTTGTTTTTTCCTTCGGTTGGGCTAGATGTTTTGTTGAGCAGTAAATTGTTATTTTTGGAATTTCGTCTAGTGAGAAGATTATAATACATACAGTCTTGAATCTATCGACCCGCACTATTGGTAGTACCGTAGTACTATCAGGACGACACATACCATTTGTGTCTGTGATTACGAGTTCATGAAACACCATCCTCCACTGTCCTCTCCAAGTGAATTTCAAATTTTCGAAGAATTTTGATTTCAAGGATTCACGTCAGGCGTTTGCACGTTTACCAAGAAATCGGGCAACAAATCAGGTTAGTGAACCTTGGACTAAGGTTACTCGCGGCAATAAAAGATGTCCGCATGGCAACACGACGTGTTGTTTCATAATTAAGCCGATTCATTTGTTTGATAAGCTAGAAAGCAGACGCGCACGCACTTAAAACCATAAAGCGCGTTGCGCGTCGTCTACCGATGAAGTGCGGAGAAAATAAATCGGTCGTCACAAGTGTTGGTTCTATAGATGTCTTGGGTCTCGTTGCAGCTATGTTAATTTGAGGATTTCCAAAGATGCGTTCTGCTTATTTGATTCCTATCGTCCTAGACCGACCGCGACGACCTCGGTCCACGTTACGAAGCGTTTTCTGAACTGTTATGGGAGCCTGCCCATAACGACCTTTGAAGCGGCCCTCCTCAATTGTAGCCCGGTGCAGTTTTACCCTTACGTAGCCTGAATCTTGTTGCTCAGCCAAAGCGAACGTGTCACCTTGAAGCTTCCTATTTAAGGATGATCTCGTTAAATCCCGTCAGTGAGTGCATTATTTCGACAACCAACAAGTGCATTATCAGACATCTAATCGTTGCTGAAATCCAGGAACTTCCAGCTATGTCATTCTCCTATGAGCTATGTATCTGACCTCATTACTTGCTTGTACATACTGCTTGCCGAGTGTACAATGCAGTTTTGCCAGAGGCCTTTATTTTCTGGTCCGGGACGTCAGCCCTTCTAGATTGCGCAACAGCAGCACATTATCCCCACGGTCAGCGGAAACCGCAACATAAACCTTTGGTCTTTTATTACAGCTGGAGGTTTTCGTCTTGCCCGCGGTCAGAATCTTAAGCCTACCTTTTGCCGATTTTTTCAGGATATAACAATTTGTACTTTGGCTGTGCTTTCCCACAATGACTCTGAACTGTCCATTTCTGCAAGTTGATGATACAACCGGAAACAACGGTTTGCGAATTGCAGGCTCAGCTGGGCGTCGCAGGTTATCTCTAATAATTGGGGACCACAACTGCTGCTCGATGGCTTGGTGTCACCTTCCAGAAGCTAGGTATCCTTAACCAATATTGTGCAAACTCACCGAAACATTTGCATTTGATCGCGTGTGCACCGTTTGTTGCCTCAAGAAATGCACTGTAAGCAGACATTTGCTGTCCTGAATTTGACTGCATATTGCTGACTTGGCCTCCCCCCCTACTCCACACTTCACTTTAGGTTAGGCCGTTGAGTCAAACTACTCGCAGAGTCCCATAAGAAAACATCTAATTGTGCAACTGATTTATTGCTCAGGCAGTTTAGTCGAAGGGCACAGTTGGATACCTTAAGACGAAACTCTCCTCCATAACCCCTTCGTCAGCTATGCTCTTATTTTACTTCTACTCTACGCCTTCTTTTCTCATTAAGCATCAAGTGGCTGGCTTTCACTCCTTCAGCTGCAGTAATGAGAAAAAGACATCAATGCGTCTCACTGGAAACTGGGACATTTTCCACCTTTGGGTAGCATTACGCACGAAGTCCTATGCTCGACTACACGCTGTATCAAATGAGACAACATATGACGTCCACTATGACTTGACGCTTTCTCAGCACTGACTCGTGCTATCTCCGAAACACACTCATGAGATAGTAGTGCCTTGACACGTTTTTACTTACCAGACTGGGGTTTTCGTGACGGCGGATGTAAATTTCGCCTATCCGCTCATTCCGAATTTACGAGTTGCGGTCTGCGCATTGTCAGCAATGTCCATAACAGGTGTTTGAGTAGTGCTGAGGTATTTCCCACCTCCAGCTCACGTGCATAATGATGATGAGTAGTTCTCGTATTGCCCAGTCCCCGGTTAACTGCCATGTGTGTGCGACTTGACATAGCGACATACTGGTTCTGGTTCTGATCAATTCGTCTGTCGGTTACAATTGGTTGCCGTCATCTATCAGCCGCTCTTCTCCAGTCAAAATTGGTAAAAGTGTGAGCATATGTTTTTGTGTCCGCTAAAACAAACGCTCAAGCTATTCACCCATTGGATGTTACAAATCGTCTTTGTGCTCATTTCTGAGACATTGTTTTATTGTATTCATCTTAGTGCTCGTGTACTGTTACTGTGCACCAGACATGGTTCTAGTTTTAAACTATATATGTTCACGGAGTTTCATAGCTTTTATCCACCGACCGACTTTGTGGATTCAAAGTACCTCCATTCGAGCAGACACAATTTACTGGAAGATTGTCTGTTAACAGGGAACACTTTCATCCATCTCGACTGCGTTTTCGGATTCAACCACAAGGCACTCGCTGTGTGCGTCCAAGTTGTCCACTTATCTGCGAAACAACGGTCATTCAAAATTGCGTTGTCACTTGCAACTGATGTGCGATACCGATGCATCAGTCGCAAATTGTATTCATTCCTAACACTGTGTTAAATAGACATTCGCTGCCGCTTGCTTCACTTTCCGGATACCTAATGGATTTATAAGGTTCGTCATATTTTGACCGAAGCGCAAGAAACGGTGCGGCTGTTCCAATTTTTTTTACCTGTGAAAGGAATCAATGAATAGAACCATGATTTGAGGATGAGCAATTATCTATTGTTGGGCTGCTCAACTTAAACGTCGGATTGGATGTCTCAATTGGGGCATCCCGTTCAGTTTAGTGTGTTTGGACACCTTACACGCTGTCCCACCTCTCACGATCAATTGCTAATGTGACTGAGAAAGGTGGTTGTTGGCTCCCAATCATCCTTTGTTGTATCCAAAGGATTTTGTAGAACATTCCTCCAGATATTCATCTCATCCTCGCTGCCCCTACGTTAATCGTTTGCATTCTGCTACGGCACTCCACCGGTTTTTTTGAGGACCGAATCTATTGATCCACTCTGGTTTCCTTTTCGATCTATGGCGCATTTGTCACCCTATTGCATTTTCTGGGATTTGAACATCATTCATTTAGCCACATACGGTCTGATGTGGACCTACAAGGCGCTGTTCACTGAGTTCACTACAACAGGTGGATTTTCTTGGGGCTATCCTGCGTCTCCTTCCCCTTTTTTATTTTTATGCCTATTTTCGTCACGAATGACTCATCTGTGGTTTCGGAGTAGGTGTTCTTCTGAGCGATCAACAGGCAAGCTCAGAGTACGTAGACAACATGAGTCTCTTTAGGTCGGACCTAAATGTTACGCATGCGTTAGCGATTAAGCTTCTGCACACTACATATTTTTCGGACCTCCAAGGTTCGATTCCTCCATGTGGACTGGGCCGAAAGATCACGGATTTACACGATCACGAAACAGTCACCGCACTACCTCCAGAAGTTGCATCACCGAAAAGAACACTGCACACATTTCTACGACTCATGCAGCCCCACATAGCCTTAGTCGCTTATGAAAATGGTGAAGAGCAGTGTGACTGCTGTGTGGATTGGGGACACGATCATTGCGCCCTGAAGGTAAAATGAAGCTGACTATGTTTGACCACCTACGCGCCCATGTTTGGGTGGCTGTTGGGGGAAGGGAGTACAATAAGCACTAGTCTGAACTCTGCTAGTTAGGGTATGGCAATCGTAGTCCAGGTGCCGTAGCCAAAACGCGCCTACATTGTTTATGTGTTTCACATACCCATCGAAAGGGTGCTTCGGTGTGCATTTGCCTGCGCTGCACGTAGTTCGGTGCAGTTCTAATGTGATGTGGTGAAGAGTATGCCAGTAACTACGGAAATACAGCTGAATTATTTCATATCATCTACCTGGATAGAGGCTTCAGGGTCGACTGCAAGGTACATGGTGTAGCCGCGAGCTATGTTTTATTCTGGCTCATAACAGTTGGATCTGATTATTGCACTCTTTGTCCACTCTTCTTAATTAAACTTTTTCCCCGATTTTTTGATTCTTGCAATTATGGCCATGTGAGTCGTTGCACTGTATGAGCAAGGTGATTGTTAGAGCCGAATTCCGTTGAACTCTCTCATTCGAATGTGTGATATACCGGTGCCCATAATGACCATAATTTCCTCCACTGTGTATCATATTTCATGTCAGAATTTCGTTTCTTATTAATACTGAGCAGCACTTGATCTCCTACGCGTTACATTGCTCTAGCGGTATTTAGCGGCCTATAGAAAATGCACCTTTTTCACATCCCTTCACTGCGGTCTGCTATCGAAGGTTACTCATTCCGTCGGATGTAACGGCACTCCTATCTGCCGCTACATCAATTTCATCTTTCATCGTGCTGTAGTGCTTTGATATGTGCATAAACTTTCAAACGGTTTCGCTATTTCATTATCAATCATTCTTTCCGGACAGCACTCGGAGATGTTTTCTCAGAAATTGGTGTCAAGGAGCCAATGCTACGTACCAGTGAAGCGTTCTCCCACTTTGGTGCAACCCATCTTAGTATGCAGCGCTTTTCCATTGAAATGTTGAAAAAACTGAAACCGGTAAGTCTCACTTGTGCTTGGTTTACCTGTTTGTACCTTGGACTAGTTCCTCGTGTTTGCGCTTTACTAGAGGTCTGGTGTTTGTCTGACTGAGTCTGGCACCGACGAACTTGCTCAATAAAAACAGAAATCTATTACTGCATTCCAATTCTTTTGTGTTTTGTGTGGTTGGGTAGCTTTATAGGTTGTATCTTCAACTTCTAGACATGCCTTCATGTGGCAAATCAAATTGCCAGCCAAGACATTGGGTTTCTACACCGTTTCTGGAACTACTGGATGCTCGCCGACGTATTCCGGCTGGAAGAGAACATAATGAGACTCACAAAAATCTCAGAGCGATACTGTGTGTTAGCGTAAAGAGAGACCGCGAAGCCTGTGGTCTCATCGTGCAACGGAAATGGAAACAGCCGCTGTCGTTGGTAGCCATCGTAACTTATTCCGTCTGATATGCTAAACGGGCGGAAGTAGACCTGGTGTTAGCGAACCATACACGACGAGAGTGGACAGCCGATCCACAGCTCATCAAAACGCTTGGAGCGTTGGGCCGAATACGTTGTGAAGCATTTCAACCAGAGTTCTCGGCTTCTCCACAGGCCATTGCTCGTCCTACTCCGTGGGCCGTCCCCATGGATCCGCCCTCAAGCACAGAAATGGAACCTGAGGTCAGACTGTTGAAATTATGTAAGGCCACAGTGGCAGGTAGAATTATTCCAGGCCTCTTCGAATTCGGCAGACCTGCTCTTGTCAACGATTTACACGGGTTACTAGTGAAACTGTAGGAGCAGGAAATTGTCCCAGCAAATTGCAGCCGCACCGTCATAGTCTCATTTTTCAAAATAGCCTCCCGTTCGGAATGCGGCAATCATAGAGGAGTCAGTCTGATTTCAATTGCTTCTAAATTGCTTGCGTCTGTCATCCTCCACGGACTGACTGACACTCGTGAAAGTCTGGTTCGCGTGGAAATTGTGGCTGCATCGACCACATCCACTTTACGTCAGTTGCTGGATCACCGTTATACTTCTTGGCGATGCACCGTAGTGGTGTTTCTCGACATCAAAGCTATCTTCGATTCGGTTGCTCGATGTCCCCGTTGAGACTGTTTACTCAAAAAAGGTGTGCCCGAAAAATACGTAAGTATTCTCAGAGCCCTGTACGCTCATAGCTCGGGCAGAGTGAGGGTTTATGGCAAACTGTCGCCGCCCTTTAATATCTCCAGCGGTTGCTCGCTGTCACCTTTCCTATTTAACTTCGCCATTGACCAAGTCATGGAAACAGCATTCGCTGTACACGACTTTTAAGGTGTGAGGCTGGTTTCTGGTAAGCGACTTGTCTTGAAAAATGCTGATGACGTTGCTCCCATATGTGACAACCCACAAACGTGCCAAGCTGCACTGGACGGATTAGCTCTGGCTGTCATTCGTTACTGGCTATGCATAGCACCATAAAATGCAAAGTCCTTCTCCAAGATTCGCACGGATCCACCCTTGCGCTGACTCTTGGCAGTGGTCAGCTATGAGTCGTCCGGAAATTTAAGTATCTGGGCAGGTATGTTAGCGTTTGTGGGATCGAAACTGAGCTTCTGAACTGTATAGAAAAAGCTCTGGGTGTTTTGCCACTCTCCGCCACCTGTGGTGGCGACGCGACAGCACTATATGTGAAAGGCAGTTTGTAATGCAGCCTTCCGTTCAGACCTCTTGTGCGGTTGCGAAACCTGTCACATCAAGTTGACAGACACAAAGAGGCTAGTCACGTTCGATCATCTCTGCCTTCGCAGCTTATCACATGTCTGGTGGGAGCACCACGTGAGCAACGAGCATGTTCGGCATCGCCTATTTCATGCTGGAAGAGAGAGTGAACCGCTCAACATCATTATATCACGCACCAGGCTACGATGACTGAGCCACGTGTTGCGCAAGCCAGCCCACCGACTCCCGCGACGTGCGTTGTTTGCGCACCCGGGGTCTGGATGGAAGAGAAGAAGGACAGTCCAAGCAATGACTTGATTAAGAGGAATGAAAACCCTCACTTCAAAGTTGGCGTCGGTTGGTGTCTTCCGACTGCCGTGCTAGAGTCCGAAGGACGATGAACACGTTCGGTTGTACACACTTGCTGATATGGCTGGAAGCCGGTCTTAATGGCGTTTATGTTGTGAGTTTCCTTGTCCATCCTCCTCTGCCTTAGATTCCCCTCCAACTACGATCTCATAGCAGATGAATACTATGATATTTAACATTATATGCCTTACTTTTTGCATTTTTACAGTGTAATTTTCAGTGTCTTCCTTTTTGTACTGCACATTAGCCGAGGTTTGTTTCACCCTTAGCTACCATGTATTGATGATGATAATGATGAAAATCTCGAACTTCTGGTGCTTTGTGTTACTCGGTTTCACTGAGCTAATGAGTACTTGGGAGTACGGATCAGTTTTGTGACAATCTCTGTTTAACTTATGGTATGGGTTCTTGGAAACGGACTCAACAGTAGTTAGTGTATACTTGTCAACAAACAGTTTTAGTGTGTAATCTTGCTTGTGTTCCAATATCCGAACTCGCAGCGATTCTGTTTTCGCATTCTATATGTCCCCTTATTGAAGAGAGGTGTTGAGCTGCCTACTTGCCTCCTCATTACTATCCACTCTACACCCTCATGTGCATGTTGATCATATATTGTAAAACCTCTGAAGGTGATGGAACAGCAATATAGTCACATTTTTGTGTGTATTTTGACAAATATGTGGTTGGCTTCTACTGTTACTGTTGGATGGTGAGGTTTACCCTATTCACCAAATACGCAGTTTGTCCTTTACAATTCAAGAGGTGACAGAGGTCCATGTAGCAATTCGGCTCACTTGTTGCTGTTTGTACATCACACAATATCAAGCTCCCCAACTGAACCCTGCATCCGTGGCACATACTGCCGCAGTTAGTCGTCGAAATGTTCGTTGAACTACTTTCCCACAACTCTTCCAAGGAGTCTGGATCATTAGCTCATTGTTGAGAACGCATTCACCGTGAAGTTTGTGTTGCATTATTCGTTCAAGGGGTTCACCAGAAATTTACTAGTACTACGCTCTTTCTGTTTTATTTGAAGTGTCTACTTAGTTACACTCGTTTCCACCGAGTATGAGATCTGATTGTCTTATTCTTGTACTGCTGCTTACGTTTCGATTATTTGGATTTTTCATAGCTGGTTCGCTTCGTGGTTTTTGGTCGTTGTCTGATGCGTCTTACCGAGTATGCGCACCCAGCCGCTACTCAAAGCACCGTCGAACGCAACGATGCACCTCTGAGCCTATTTCTCGCACATCCAAGGTTCAGTGGCTACCCCATTACCAGGCTATCTGGCATAAGTCTCGGCGGTTTTGTGCTACCAGAGCCTTGCAGGTGCCGGTAGACACTCTTTGGTTAGTCCCAAGTCGAAAGTACCGTCATTACTTGATTTCAACACAAAGGTGCTCTCATTGACTGGCCCATGGCTAATCGACTTCAAGATGGGTAGGTCGGACTTTTCATTGAAGCTACCGGCTTAAAAAAGGGTTTGTACTGCTTCTATGCACGGTATCGTATAACAGCTTGCATCTGGGCACCACTGCGGGTCACCCAGAAGACGTCAGTACCTCATCATTGCTTTGTACAGACGCTGCTACCACGAAACGGCAAGTCATACGCAAGCTGACATGACACCCAAACCCATGCACGAGCAGAAACTGAAACCTGAGGCGTTCAGTTTGCAGGCCAAACACTCAAACCACCGCTCTGCGGGTACCTTCGGGATGATATATCTTATTGACTTTGACGTAGAGTTTATATCGTCCGATAAGTTTCGCCCGTGACTCAGTGTGCCATCGAGAAGTCCGCGTACTAAGCACCTGTGCGTTAAATTGGTTGTACTCCAATGTACTCAAGTGCCACTTGTTTACCTCCCCGTAGCTGTCGGATATTTCTGCTTGCAATTTTCCTTTTTAGTGGCTCATTGTTCTAGGTGTTTCTGGAGACTATCGAGTACACCCATCTACAACCTGGCGCGGGAACTATGGGTGTGCTTTGTGCCACCGGTTAGTATCTCTATCCGGCGATCTTTGAGGGAGATCAGCGGTATGAGAGCAGGTCACAATCTGGCCATGTCTTCATTTGGAATCGCAACTGTGGTTATTTCTGTCACTTTGCAGCTGACAGTGGGCTATCACGATGCACTTAGAGACTGACAACTTGAGGTACACGTTCGTTTCCCGAACTGTGCCTCAATATATTTCAGCTGCAGCAGATACATGAGCACCGTTTGGCTCTCGCATCAGAATCCATTGTGATGCTCCTCATGTGAAAATTAGGAAATAATTCGCTCCCAACCCGAATCCCGAACTTCTGGATTCGCAACACCGACAATCCGTTTGTGACGCTCAACCGCAGTCCGGTCTCGAGCGCATGCTAACTGCTCTGTAGCATCATGGATGACAGTGAGGTCACGCTGAAATCAGAAATGGAAAACAGTCGTTTCTTTATGGCTATGTTAGTCACTAGACTAGCGGACGGTGGGATGCAGAAATTAATAAACGATACAGGCATACACCCAGAATAAATTCTCAACTTCTGCAACAGCAACAACGGCGACAACTGAATAGACGCTTTGTGGTGTTTTGTATTCAAATCCACGAAGATGGAACAGGTTGTTCAGATCAGGTTTACTCTGCGGACTTTGAGCCAAACCGTAAAGTAGGATTGCGCTAGTCAAGTCACTGTGCAAACATTTAGTGCTATCACACGAACTTCAGCCCAGAATCCCTCGAGTTTTGTTGCGTTCGGATTTGCGACTCTTAATCGGGTTACCTGTGTATTCACGTTACAGGTTATTGCAGACTTGAACACTTTTCTACGCAAGGCGGTTCCGGACACCCGACTAACCATCAAGAAGTACTTGGATGTGAAGTTTGAATACTTGGTAAGTTGATCGAATATGTACACGCATTTAAAGTATCAGCCGTTGTTGCCATCTTTCGTATGATTAGCGCATTAAGTACCGTATTATGTGAGGTGGCCAGTAGCATGATTGCAATACAGATCGGCCTAACTTGACATTACTTTTCGACGTATTTTGAATGGGGCGCAGGATTTATTCATACATTTACTCATTTTTTGCTCCAGTCATATTGCCTAAAGGTGAAGGAGATGGATGACGAAGAGTATGGTTTTGCAATGGTACAAGAGCCATTGTACCGCGTGGAAACGGGCAATTATGAGTACCGACTCATACTAAGGTGTCGCCAAGACGCCCGTGCTCGGTTCGCCAAGATGCGCAATGACGTACTGGTCAAATTGGAATTGCTTGATAACAAGCACGGTGAGTCGCTCCATTTAGCTTCCTATGGGCTACATCTGGTAGCTCGGAAACAAGCGTTGAAGTACCTGGATTGCTGAAACCCTTCGAGAAATCCCGTTTGTTAGTGATACTATTTTGTGTCTCCCATGAGAAACCACTTTATAGCCTGTGGATTACTCGCCGTCAATTTTCTCCAGAGGTTATGTTTCTCTGTCGATTTGTATTCATAGCAAAGATGTGCTATTCATTTAACGCTTTCATTGGAATTGTACTTTAAGCCTACTGGATTCACGACTGATAAGATTCCAGTCTTCGTAGGACATTGCATTGGAGACTAGTCGTTTCCTCAGTGGCTAAACTGTTTGTTGTCAATCCGATGTATAGAAAAAGGCTTCGGCCGGTACGCCGTACCGGCGCTTCGCTGCCTCGCAACCACCACCCGCTTATCTTAGGCTAAGGATAATGCGAGGGTCGCCCGATCCCCTAGGCAAACCCGGACCCGCCACCTCCGGGTTGCAAGACAGACGCTTTGTCCTTTCCTTCAAGTGACGGCCAAGGTGAGGAGTAAAGTATGTGGGTTGGGCTAGTCAACTATGGACAGGGGAAAGCGGAACAATCGATTTAGATACCATGGACAAGGTCGATTAATACTAAATGTACGATGGAGGGTTCACAAGAGGGAAAGACGTAGGGAACCGTAGGATGAGCAAAATTTCATGTGCGATATCTGAAGAAGCAGATGGATCATCCGATCATCACCCTACTTAGCCAGGTTGATGAATAGCTCTTCGTGCAGCTTATACCAACAATCAAAGGTTACGGGGATGTTGGAATCGTACGCAAACTCCCAGATGGAACAGTTAATATGGTCCACCGGCTGTGAACCTAACTGTATGAAGGGACTGGACAGTTCATCCGTTAACAAAGATCTCAATTTGAGCTGCTGCCGTAACATCAGCTTTAAAGCAGAGTGTTTGTTGCTACCTTACTATGCGGGCTCCTATACGGTTCTATACTGTGTATAGTAATGCATGATTCATCAAGTCCTTGGAGCACTAATTGAATTACTGAGCTCGCTTTATCGAGAATGAAACATTTATTTACAACTGTTGGGCCTGATTTGCGTTGCACCACGCTCGAATCTGCCGATATCTCTTGTGTACCATGAGAATCACACATAGTGCACTATGTAAATACTTGAATGGTATCCACTGGAGGTCCGTGAGTGCTTTAATCTTCTTGGTAGCTCCACCATTGCTGAAGTAGTTCTCCACCAAGTCATCTACGTATGCACCGAGTTAACGTACTCGTTACTTTCCATCTGCCACGATGGTCCATTGTCGAGCGTACAGCCTATTTGTATGCCATCTCCCAATTTACGATTGCGAGACCTCTGATCGCCACAATTAGTTTGGCGCAAGTAACGTCTCATCACTAGCACCACCGTCCCTTAATAGTTAGAATACTACGTCAATCATGGATGGATTGCGCATATATGTGAGCGACAAATTCACTTGAAAGGTTCGAGTGACGCGTTTCCACAGGGATGAAATCAACAACAAGACCGGAACTGAATAACGGTACTATTTAGAAATGGATAAGTGATCATTTTCAATGGTCCCATGATGAAAGCACACACGAAAACTGCACAATGCAAAAAGCGCACACGATGAATGCCCACACCTAAAGTTCTCACCTGGAAAAATTGTAACAGTCTGCGAATTTCATCGGTATGTCTGAGTACGATGTGTGAAATGTTAATAAGAATTACTTCTCCCATTGTACACTTAGGCGATTGTTGAATAATGCTTACTATGCTGAAGTCGTTTGACTGAAACGGAAAACGCCCACGGCCCGATCTCTTGCGCAGCTGCGACGCGTGCTGCTACTTCTACTTGCATAGCTATCATAGTTCGTCGGTGTTGTTTTATAACGGGACATTCTTTTACACGCACAATAAATGCGTTTCCCTTAATTAACATGCTGTTCTTGACTGGGTTTGCCACTATGAAGACCTCACGTGAAAAATGACGATTTTCACATTAAGACATCGGGTAAATCACCATTAATAAAGCATTCGTAATGAACTAGACTGTGATTTCGTAGCAGAAGTTAAGTAAACAATAAGTGTACCGAATGCGACTGTAGGAGTATTGCTTACCCGTCGGTAAGAACAGTGCTCGTTAGCGCAACCTTGCCAATCATCGCAAATATCTTAGCATGCAGTAGGGGAGTAATGCTCAGTCTATTTACTATTATAAATGAATCACACTGGTTTTGGCACGCATCGCAATGCGGTACGTACCGAGTGATCGAATTAGCGGACAACTCGGATGTTATTGTAGCAGTGTGCAGCTGTTGGATGTGCCACCAATGAACTAGGTCAGTTGTACCGTATTTGCCAAGACACGGATTTTAAGTGGGCAATTTTCAGTGTGGACATTCTTCCGTGTGCGTATTTACATCAAGTCAAGATCAGCTTTACATACCCAAACGAATACTTTTTCAGCTTTTTATATTGTCAACTGTGAATATATTAACTTTGCACCAAAAATGCATAATGTTAACTGGGTAGACAAAAATGTAAAGGGTCAACTGTAATCACTGTGACAAAACAGCACGGCTTTCCAGAGCAAGAATCACACAATGCTGAGCAGAATTTTTCAAAATCGCATCCAGTCAAAAGAGCAACATTTTTCTTCGTAGCTGATTTCAGTTAGCCTGAAAGATTTATCAAAAAGTCACAAATCGGGTATAGCGCGCAGTATCTGAGCATTTCTGTACAAAAAACGTGGATAAGGTCAGACGCTCTCAGTGATCTTGGAAATTGTTTGAACAAGCTATTTGTCAGACTGTTCTTACAAAACTGATATATCTACATTATACCTCATCATTATACACGTTAGCTAGAGTTGCGAAACACCTCAGCTACTGTGCCGCAATACATAAAGGAAAAAAGGGGAAATGCAACAGGCGCAAGCCAGCTGAGCTACCAGTAACGGATGGGCATCGTTCCGGTAAGAAACCAGCTCGACACTATACAGCAAAAAATTACTTTGCAAAATTATATGAGGCTAAGTAGTTACATCGTGGTTGGAGGGGAGGCTAAGAGGGATGAAATGGGACAAAGAAACTCACAACACGAACGCCACTGAGGTCGGCTCCTAGCCATGTCAGCAAGTGTATCCAGCCAAACGCGTTCATCGTCTTTCGGACCCCAACAAGGGAGCCGTGACACCCCAACCGAGGTCAGATCCGAAGTGAGGGCGTTCATTCGTCTCGACCAAGTCATCGCTTGGCCACCCCTCCTCTTCTTCCATCCACACCCCCGGCGCGCAAACAACGCACGCCGCGGGAGTCGGTGGGCTGGCATGCGTAACACGTACCCGAGCCATCGGAGCCTGGTGCATGAAATAACGGTGCTGAGCGGTTCATTTCCTTTTCTTGTGCGGTAAACATGGCGTCGAACACGCTCGTCGCTTACTCTGTGTTCCCATCAGATATGAGCTAAATTGCGAAGGCACCGGTGGTCGAAACTAACTAGCCTCTTTATGTCCTTTGATCTAAGTTGCCAAGTTTCACAACCGTACAGTAGGGTCGAACGTACCGCTGCATGGTACACTGTATCCTTCAGGGCGAGAGTGATGTTGCGCCGGTGCCATAAATGGCGAACATTAGCAAAAGCGTCTCGAGTTTTTGCTACACGGTTCGTGGTCTCATCTTCAATCCCACGGGCGCTGACACAACTTCCCAAGTAGTTGAATTTTTGAACGACTTCCAGCTGGTCCCCACCAAGGGTCAGCGTAGGAGGCGGTCCAGGCCAATCGCGGAGGAACGGTCTGCACATCGAAGGTGCGAAGTAAAGCCCGAAGTGACGGACAGCCAGTGCTAATCTGTACAATATCGCGTGGCACGATTGAGAGCTATCACAAATATGGGCAATATCGTCAGCATACTCCAAGCCAAGAAGTCGTTCTGCTGGGAGCAGATCCATACCTTCTAAGTCGTGTCCTGTGAACGCGATTTCCATGACTTCGTCAATAGCGAAGTTGAAGAGGATAGGTGATAACGGGCATCCTTGTCTCACACCTCTGAGGATAATGAAGGGCGACGACAGCTTGTCGTAAACCCTCACTCTGCCTGAGCTACGCGCGTATAACGCTCGGATAATGTTTACATATTTCTCAGGTACACCTTTCCTGAGTAGACAATTCCAAAGTGCACGTCTCTCCACCGAATCGAATGCACGTTTGATATCGAAGAACACGACAACGGTGGACCGCCAATATATGTGAGGCTGCTCCAACAACTGAGACAAAGTGAAGATGTGGTCAATGCAGCCACGATCTCGACGAAACCCGGCTTGCTCTTCACGAATATGGCTTTCACGGGCGCCAGTCAGTCTGTGAACGATTACGGAGGCAAGTAATTTGGAGGCAATGGGATCAGACTGATTCCTCTATGGTTGCCGCATTCCGATCGTGGGCATCCCTTGAAAATTGGGACTATGACGGAGCGGCTCCAGTCGGTTGGGCCTGCTCCCACAGTTTCACTAGTAACTCGTATAAATCATCGAAAAGAGCAGGTCCCCCGAATTTGAAGAGGGCTGGAGCTAGATCATCTGGTCCCGCGGCTTTATTTAACTTCAACCGTCCGACCTCACGTTCGATATCTGAGCCAGTGGGTGGATTCAAAGGGACCACCCACGGCGAGTAATCTAACCATTCCGACCGATTAAATTGCCTTTCAAAATGCTCAACTCAACGCTCCAAGCGTTTTGACAAGATGTGGATAGGCTGTCCACTCTCGTCACCTATAGTTTCACTAACCCCATCTATTCTGCTGCCCGTTTCCCATATCAGCCGGAATAACGTACGATGGTTACCAAGGGCAGCGGCTGTTTCCATCTCTGATGCACCATGAGATTAACAGGACTCGCGGTCTCTCTTCAGGCTAGCACGGGGTTTTGCCCAGAGCTCTTTGCGAGTTTCGTTGTGTTCGCTTCCAGGCGGAATATGCTG